CCTCCTTCTCCTTCTCCTTCTCCTTCTCCTTCTCCTTCTTCCTTTAATTTTGATTTTAACTTTAATTTTAAATTTGGCTAGGTAAGATAGATTTCTGAAGAGAATGCTGGCCAGAATGTTTCTTCTAATAATGGTCATTTTGGTCTAGAGGTTATAACTGCCATGCCAGGGTAGACCTAGAAATAGCCAGGGATAAAAGTGCCATTGCCACCAGCCCTGTCCCGTCAGAGCTTCTCTTCAAAGAAGAGCTCTTCTCTTCAAAGAGTAGCTCCTTCCTTAGCTTGTCTGTGATTTACAGTGCATCAGGACTCCATGTTCTAAGTATTTTCATGGCAAATAGGAGTTGTTCTCAGGTCTCAGGCAAATTGAAAGGCCAGTTTTGAATTTCGAATCTTTCTTCCAAAATGTGTACATTTACTTTCTACAGTGGGAGTGTAAGGATATTTGAGAGTTAGCTTAGGACATTTTGACTCTTCTGGTTTATTTTATGCTGAAATATAGCACTGTTTGCTCCATTACATTCATTAGTATTTCTAGAAAAGAAAATAAGAACCCTCTCTTTCTAGAATTGTGTAGTATTTAATTGCTACGAAGGATCTTAGCCATCACTTAATCCTCTTTCTCACTCTATAGACCAGGAAGCCAAGGATCAGAGAAATTTCATGAAATGATGAAGATCATACATCTTGGTTATTGTGGTGATTGAATTGTGGTGATGGTGGGGGCTGGTTCAAAAGTTAGTGCAAAGGCTGAAATTGCTAGGATTACTCTGGAAAATTCTTATTGGCCAATAGTATAGAATACATGTTTACAACCCAATTTACAGCCCAGTTATTTATGATAGGGAGAAAGGAGGAAACAGATATGGTTTTAATTGTATGAGAGGGAAGGAGGATGAGGGGTTCAGGGGGAGAGAATTATAAGTGAGTTTAAGTAAGGTGATTGACCATGTGGTGCCATCTCTCTGGTATGAGCAGTGCCAGAACTCAGAACCTCCAGCAGCCAAGCCTTTCTGTGGACTCAGGTTGCATCTCATATCTAGAAAAGATCAGACAGTTAAATATTCGATGATGGTACTTGTTCCTCATAAGTGCTTTGAAACTATGCCTCCATTTTGCTCAAGGAAACCTGTTGTTTTTTGGTTTGCTTGCTTTCTGCTGCTTTGGTTTTATTGCCTGTAATTTGCTTCTCAAACATTTTAGAGTGCCAGGAAACTCACCTTGTATTTACAGAATATCCACAAGGTGGCACTGTTGAAGTTCTCTTGATTTGCAGAGTGTAGTCCAGAGGCAACCCCTTCTCTTGGGGAGTGTACAGTCTTGGAGAAGAGACAGAACAGATGAACATGTGTTATGTATATAAATATGGTTAGTATAATTGCATACAATTCAGTTTTCATTACAGCGAATTTTAAGGCATTGTCCATATCTCTGTTAAAGTGGAATTTTGTGGTATTGAATATTACATGAAATGAATGGACCATTGGCTGGGACATGGAAATATTTTTGTTAAAATGCTATTTGTTTTAACAGGATTTGATCTGAACATATATACATATGTCAGTATATATCATACATACGAATCTAATAGCTGGGGACAAGCTGGCCAAGTTGATTGTGTTCGTGTCTAGTAGACTTGGATTAAACCTGGCATTAGTTCCTTAACACAGACCCTGCCTTAAGAGTATTAGGGGAGAAACTGGTCCATGTGTACGTGCATACTTAAATTTAATAATGTATGGAGCAACTTAGTAATCACTATTCTAGTTTGGTGTTGAACTTTTACCATAGATGATCTTGAGTTTGAAGTTTTACTGTTTCAGTTGTCAAGTTAAGACTTCTTTTGATTGGGAAAACCATTAATTCTATAAAAATTGTCTGTAGTTCTCGCTTTTTAATGCTTACTGTGAATATCATACCTGTCAGTATAGGGAAAATGGAAAATGTTTGTGGTCTCTGGCTCCTTTTGGTTCAGTGGAAAAAGTGATAATTATGATATGCTTTTCTAAAAATCATGGTAAATGTTTAGTCTGCAATGTCAATTTCTGCAGGCTAAGTTTGTGGTTTGTAAGAACTGTTGTTAAAGGGAAAATTTACATCATTTGAAGTAGAGGCAGATTGTACTTCAAAGAGGATGATAAGCATTGGCGATGTTTTTGGTGAGGTATCTGAGCAATTAAGAATTTTGAAACACTTAGCTTCCTGGCCATGGTTTATTCATTTGTCTTATCCCCAAGTAAGGGCGATAAACCGTTATGGACTGTAAATGTGACAGACTAAATCAAAGGTCTTGAGAGAGCATAGCTGAGGCTTTAGGCTGGGTGTAGGGCCAAGGACCAGCATGACAGAGTGGAAAGAGTGTGGGTGTTGGATTTAGATAGTCGCTAAATTTGAATCCCAACCCCTGCACTTGATAGTTACATGAGCCCACTTTTTGGAGCCTCAGTGTCCTTATCTGTACGGGAGTAATAATAATAATACTTCATGGGATATTGTAAAGATTAAAGACAAGGTATGTAATATGCCTGACATCTGGTGGGTATTGTGAGGATGGTAGCTTTAAAAAGAAAAAGAAAAAAGAAAAAAAAAAAAACCTGGAGAGACAGGAAACACCTGCTTCTCCAGAGGTAGTAAGATTTGTTGCCAGGAAGTTTTAATTATTCACCTGCTAATTTCTGAATTGATTCATCCTGACATCATAGAGGTAGATGCGTGCGCCATTTTGTTGGGACAACAAAATGTTGAACTTTGTGACTTGAGTGTCATTTCACTTCATTTCTGTCTGAATCCTTAGGTCTGTATATGCCAAGTTAAAGGCATCCATTGACATCCTATTGCTGTCAGCAGTTGCATTGTTTTTTCTTTCAAAAGGTTGCTAAGTTCAGATTTTACCACTAGATCTGTGACTAGGAAGGGACAGCAGGAGTGGGTGGGGAAGGAAGTTTCTTTGCAGCTGCCCTTTGAAATGTGTTTCTAAAATAATAAAAGTTTCTGTAATTGTATGATCTAAGCAGCTGTGTTAAAACTGGCTGTAGTCAAGGGCATTGAAGTGACATTATACATTTGAGTTTCATTTTGATATAGTGTTGTTTACATACTGAGCTTTGAAATTTGTGCCTCTTAATTGTTTTAATTTATTGTTGAAATTTTTCCAGACCTTCGTCTGGTGCCTATAATTAGCAACAGAAGCACTTCT